ATATATATAATAGACAAAAATTGTTTTTATATATATAATAGTGGTAATACATAAGCAGGTTTCTACCAGGCGTTTAGGTCAATGTAATGTGGACTTTATCAAAGCAAAAATACGAAAATGAAATTAAATGAACAAAATTAACGTAATAAAAACAAAAACTGAATGTACCTAGCAATGGAATGTAGAGAAACGCTATTTTCATATTTTTTTTAAATGAAAAATGGCGTCTGAGATTGTCACGTGTGGAGAATATTGTCATTATATCTGTGTTGATGTATTCAACCATTTTCTTTTCGATTTTATGAATCTGTTGTGCATATTTGTTTGTAAGAGCATTAATTTTGTTAAGAAAGGTGAAATAGGGAAAAAAGCCTGGGCGTAAATTAATATTTGGATAATTTTCTGGCGGCACTCTCAGAATTTTCCTTCTGAGTGAGTTATTTTCTTTTTTTCATGAGTGTAGCATTTTAAAATCAAAATTATGGTTGTATTTATTTCTATGTATGACTATTGCATTAGCTAAGTTGTTTTTTGTGAGGTCTCTATATATATCACTGCCATAAACAGACAAAAATTAGTTTTATTATGATAATCAGTGGTAATAATAAGCAGGTTTCTACCGCAGTTCGACATTGTTACTTTGCCGCTAACACTCGTGTTGTTTTCTCTACCAGTCTATGCGTAAGGATGTTCTCCCTCCACATCATAATAGTTCATTAATTTATTCTTTTAAATGTAGTTGCAGTTTGCACTACAAAGGGAGAATGATGCAAAGGCTAGATGCTAGAATAAAACAACACGTTCCAGCAAAAATCCGAAACCTTAAGTACACTCCCTTGGACATTTTGACCAATATATACAGGTCTTCCATCGCAGAACACCTTATAAATGGCCATAATTGTGCTGTTAGTTTTAGTGTGGACGCTTTTACCATCCTTAGCAGGTCCCACTCAAATTACCACCTAAAAGTGTTGGAGGCCATCTATATTCTATCAATAAAGCTTTCTCTTTGTAAACAGAAGGACTTTGTATTAGGCCTCCAACTAATTACCATTTAATTTTTTTTTCTCTCCTCCCAATACACTTTGTCCATTGTTCTTTTTTATATAATTAACTTTATTTACCTCGATTTAGCTCTGTTGAGTGAGGTACAAAACCGGTTAGCTAGCCCGTTTTTCACTTTTACTTTTTATTATCATAAGTGGTAATTTTTATCTGTTTATGGCAGTGATAAAATTTTGTACCGCTGAACACATCTTTAATGAAAACTCTAACATTTTTAGGCATTTAAAACAACATGCCTGCCTGCACTCACAATTCCGTAAAATACTTGTCGAAAACACAATTATACTTCGACATGAAAACAATAGACAAAAACTAAAAATACTTGAAGCATTATACATCAAACAGTTGAAACCCAACCTAAACAAAATCAATTATGGCATCTCTACAAATATTCTTAAATGTCTATAATTTATATAATCAGTAACAGAAGCCATTGGTTTATACCGAGCTTTCCCTTACTTCTATTCACTCATGTGGTCATATGTGACGTCATGAGATCGGTGAAGATTTTAAACCTAGCGTCTTATATATGCGTGTTTATCGTTGCTTAGAAATCATCTATGTAAACAATGACAGACTATCATCACTGTCGTGTCCGTATATTGTTTAATATGTTGTAATTGACATCTTTGATAATGGCTTAAGTAAGCTGAAAGCTTAGATTATATTAAAAAATATGGATCAATATTGTGAATTTCTTTCTTCGTTCAACAATAATGTTATTAAACTTATCAGATGTTACGAAAAAAATTTACATAAAATAAAAAGACAACACTTGTCTATATTATCTAATGAAACGTGTATTTATATATATATATATAATGGATACTTTGTATTTGAAATAGATGACCCACTATTATTTATCAAACAGTGTGCATTATGTCTATAGGCTTGTGCATTCAAGAAATCTTAGTAGAGAAAATGTGTTTCTTGGCAGGGATAAAACTTTTGTCCCTCTTTGTAGGAGAAACCAATGTTTGATCCAGAAAACTGCTATTTTCATATTTAGGTGATCTTCAAGCACACAGCTAATTCCCAGGTTGAATTTTTATCATGGACAATTCTATGATCATTCTCATGCCTCATTCCATAGATGAGTGAAGAAGAGGGGGATTCATACCTTTTCCAAGGGTATCTGTACAGAAGTGAATATAATGAACCTAACTAGAATTGGAACTCAGCTCTCCAACTTCCAATTCTAAGCTGTTATTCATTATATCACCCATGCATTTGAGCTTAACTTTGGTGACCATACGATCTTGCTTAACTTCAGGAATCATATGAGAACCGGTGTTTAAATCACTTAATTTAAGCAATGAATGATAGGATTCTTTAAGAAGAATTACCTTGGCTGGAAGTCCTGCAAAAAGTGCAGATGCCAATTCATCTCGTTCCTGTTTCTCGACTGAATCAACAGAGGAATCCAACTTGGAATCTTTGGAACTGGAACTACCACTCTTAATCTGAAGGAGGAAAAAAAATGAAATTTATAAAATAATCTATTTTTATGGTACATCAACTCTTCTATATGGGTCATGTACAAGTAGATTTTTTTTCTGCTTCCAAGGTAACAAAAAATGTCATTTACTAGAGAACAATGGTTAGCAGTTCCCTTGGGAACCCCACTAAAAAAAACAAAATTTCCTTGTAGCTGTGACAGTTTTGTATTTTCCACAGGTAACAGAAGCCTGTATATTATTATTATTGTTAATCAAATAAAAGCTAAGATTCTGAATACTGTGTCTCACCTGCATGATCAACACAATATATCTATACCATTGCACATCATATTCTGTGGCATTGTCAGCATCTTTACAGTTAACAGAAACAGTGCCAAATAAGTATCAAGTTGCCAAAAATAATCTCATCAGTTCTAGGCCCTCATGTGGATGTCATGCATAGCATCCAACTTGTTCAGATATATTCAAACTAGCATCAGTATATAATCATTTTTTTTCAGATCAGTGATTAAAAATGGCTTCAAATGTATTGATCTTGTTTTGTTTGTTTAATGACATATCAACTCCTTATGGATCATTCAATGCTGAAATTTAATTTTCTTAAGAACGTTGAAGGAATAAAAATATGATATATGTTATTCTACTTTCACAACTGAATACATGGTAGATAATACTCAGCTTTTGTGCATATAAATGTTTGTGTGGGCATGATTACTAGAGGTGGTGATGTGTCTTATGTTGTAGTTTTGTTGAAGTTATATTTTGGAATATACTTTGATTTAAATTGTAGGATATATTATATGGACTAATGTCATGAAAGTTCTTTTATTTTTGTTGTGTGGTTGATTTTGTTTAGCGGTATATCAACCTCTATGAGTTATTTAATGCTAAAATTGCTTCAACTAAATATTTTGAACGCAATTGTATGCCTGTTGTTGATAATTCTACAATAAATAGGTATTTTCATACATTCATAGTTTTGTCTTTGTTTGAGGGCTCACTGTTTGCCTATAGCTGGGACCCTAACAGGTGCTACCACCCAGGTCAATGTGGACCAGGGAACAACAGCAATTAATAGGTGGTTCCATGCTCCTCGAAATCTCCACTCTCCCGCAGGATGTATTTTATTGTCATACCCAAGACTAAAATTAATCTTGTAAAAATTGAAAGACAATCCCTTATCCCTGTAGACTGACACAATAAAATCTTAAAACAAAGCACTTTATTAAGTAACAAAAACCACATTCCCTGAAACTTCCAACAGCAGAAATGGTAAAAATGGGTAGCACATGTAATGAGGAAAGAAAATAATGATATAATCAAGTTTTTAAAACGAATGGATGAAAGGTTTTGAAATCAATACAGAAAGATCTATAACAGTGGTTTTGAGAAGACTTATATCCTGAAACATTATTAAAAGAAAAGAAAATTATAAAGTTAAACCAACAGTAAAACTGTTTCATCAACGAATATTAAATATTTCTTGTATCGAAATGGCTAATCTCACGATTACTACTAATATAAATGGCATGAAGTTCAAAGTCTCAAAATAATAGCAACATTGAGTTTTAAGCTTTAAAATAAGTTTCAGAGATAATTTCAAAGCTGGCAAAATGCAAAAATGCTGGTTATAGCAAATCTAAATAGAGATGACATAAAAGTGAGGAAGAGTGTAGTATTAATCTTTTAGCACAGTGTTTCTCAACTAGTGTTCCCCAGAATCTTAGGGTTCCACAAGAGGACACGAGTGGTTCCTCGAGAAACAGTGATAAATAGGCTACTGCATTTTTGAGTAATTTTTGTTTAATTTTATATTCATAATTTTACTATACACTCACATCATATTCTTGTAAAAACTTTAGTTGTTATAATAAAGACTTTAACCTCGAACATTATTTAAAATCATAATAATCATAGGGAATATATTTAGTGATCTATAAGGTGTCAGTGTAAAACCACCTTCACTGGTTAGTGGACAAAAACTATACATGTATCATTGAGTGACTCACTCAAGTATATGATGAGTGTCCATATATCATGTCTACCATGTAAACTACAATAAAAATAAGAAAGAGATAGATTATTAATAATGGTATTTAATGATTTTCATGCAAGGGTTTTCTGAAACTTGACAACTATTTCAAGTGTTCCACAAGGGTAAGAAGTTTGAGAAACGGTGCTTTACCAAAAGAAGCTGAACACTGGAACAATGAAATCAGTCACCAGAACAGTAGAATTTGCCATTTGGGGCCAGATGACTCATTCAGTAAAAATATATCCTTGTTAGTCAGAAATTTAGCCAGCGATTTTGATTGGTTGAACTGAATTGGTAACCAATTTGAGGTGATCTTAATTTTACATGAACAGGCACTATACTATCATGTTGCTCAGTCTGAAAGGCAGTTGATGGCGATGCAGATTATTTTGAAGGAAGATGGAGGTAAGAGTGATGCCCCAAGTGGAGTATGTGAGAAT